ACTTGAGATGTATTTGGGGTGCTGAAGCAGGAAGACCACTTAAACCCTTGAGTTCAGGTAGCCCAGAATTTTAATAATGGCCCTCTTACCTATCTTCTCAAGAAACACAAAGGCTGAGGATGTAGCTCTCTCTGTTGGTAAATTGCTTGTTTTTAAGTGTACGCGAGGCTGGGCTCGATCTCCAGCACCCCATAAACTAGGTGGTGAACACTTGGGAGGCTAAGGCTGGGAGATCAGAAATTCAAGGCCATCCTTCACGGCACAGCTGTCCCTCAAACAAAACACATACCAACAAAAAAACTTGTCTTAGTTGTGTTGTCAATAAAACGTGCCCAAGGCAAAGTGGAGTTTGATCCTTAGCAACACACACAATACCTTTATGTGCTGGGAGATTGATTTCTAGTGGTTTGAAGCCCTAGGTTCAATCTCTAAAGACAACAAAATAAATTCAGGCAGATGTGATGATTACATGCTTATAACCTTCACAATCAGGAGGCTAAACAAGAATTTTTTTTTTTTTTTTTCAAGTGTGATGCCAGCATGAGCTAAAGCAAGACAGTCAAAAACTTATTTTCTGGGTTTGATAAAGTTGCACCCACTACCACAGATGGGTTAATCTCTACAATCTGTGTGCATTTGTTTTTGCCTGTATGTATTAAAAGAGCCTCATGCATTCCTGGTGTCTGAGGTAGCCAGAGGGTGCCTGATCTCCTGGAATTGTGGTTATGGATGGTTGTGTCAGTGTGGGCACTGGCAATCAAAACCTAGGTCCTCTGGAAAAGGAGCCAGTGAACAAAATGGCAATCTTTAAAAAAAAAAACAACAACCACCACCACTAAGACAAAGGCCACAAGTTTAAAACAAAGTGAAATCTAGGGGCTGGCCAAGAGCACTTGTTCTTGCCAGAGGACCTAGATTCTGTTCCTAGCATCCACATGGTGGCTCATAACCACAACTCCAGTTTCAGGGAATCTGACTCCTGACCTGAGCACCAGAGCCACTTACCTGGTGCAAACATATATTTGGGCAGAAGACAAACCTAAAATGAAATTAAAAAAAAAAAAGTAGCCAGATTACGTAAAGCCTGTAGACATTTTTAACAGCTTTGAACAGGGTGTTTGTGTAACATATGACTGCTGTGGAAAAAGGCTGAGATAGTATAGCAATCGATATAAGATTAAATCTGGACTAATCCAACAAGATGATTCAGTGAGTAAAGGTTTTTGCTACCAACACTGATGATCTGAGTTCCATCCCTGGAAATCCACATGGTTGAGAGAATCAACTCCCATAAGGTGTGCTATGGCATGTACACACCCACAGACACAAATGCAAAACTTTTTTTTTTTTTTTAATTTAAGACTTAGGACAATCCAAGTGGTAGCTTAGAAAGTACATGAATCTGTATGTACTTTGCTAACATTTTTTTACTAAAAAAGTTTGAGTTGAACAACCTGAAGTTTCAGCATTACCTTGCTGTAAAACCAAGCCTAGAAAGATTAGAGGAAGAGGGTCTAACCAAGCACTTTAGAAAGGGGGAAACATATGGTTTGCATTCCAACATGGGTATGAATCATTCAGCAACCTAAGGGGCTGCAACATAACATGGAAATTGGAATTCCTTGCTTCAGCTGAGGCCTTTACCTTCCGATCTTGGACTCAATCACCACTGGCTGTTTTGTCTACATCTTTTTTTTTTTTCTTTTTTTCCAGACAGGGTTTCTGTGTCGTTTTGGTACCTGTCTTGGCTCTCACTCTGTAGACCAGGCTGGCCTCAAACTCATCGAGATGCACCTGCCTCTGCCTCCTGGGTGCTGGGATTAAAGGTGTGCACCACCATTGCCCAGCCTTTTCCTTTTTTCTGTCTACATCTTAATGACAGTGAGTTGTGTGTGGGATTTCTGTTAATTCCTTACAGCATATCTATCTGTATGTACTGTTATTTTTCTGTCTTGGAAACCCTAATATCCTCATCCCTATCTCAAAATGTTTGAAAGCAGATGGGTTTGGTGGTACAGGCCTTTAATCCCAGGACTCTACATAGACCCTGTCTCAGAAAATAAAGGGGTTTATATAGAAAAAGATCGACAGCACATACAGTTCTTCGCAGCACGACTGTTAGGGCTCAGCCGCCCATAGCTCCATGGGGTCAGCACTTGTGTACATAACTGCAGACACACAAGAAAAAAGTATACAAAGTGATCGTTCTCAGAAGGACAACTGTGAGAACACATCAAGGATGGGAAAGCAGAAAGGAAGAACTTTGGGCTCCTGTTCCAAGACTCAGAAACCAAAAATGAGGATGTAATACTAATGACACTGTTGCCTTTAAACCAACTGCAATTTTGTTAAAGCTGAAAACTCCTTGCTCAGTATTTTTCCTAGACAGATGACCATGACAACTAGATTTGTTTGTGCCAGTCCTTTGAGACAGGGTCTCACTTTGTAGCCCTGGGTGTGCTTCTGCATCAGCATACATGCCAATATATTGTATTAGACCCTCCACATCTTCAGTGTGTCCACACTTTTAGCCAATGTTAGAAAGTCATTTTCATTTCTCCCTGCAAACTGATAGTGTAGTTACGGTCCTGAAGCTACTGACATTTACAAAGGAAATCAAGATGCTGTTGGAATTTTATTTAAAAAAAAAAAAAAAATCCAGAATGGATGAAAAGAACAATCATCAAGGATATAGGTGCCAGACATAGGCCAGCCAAGAGGAGAGCTAGAAACGTATGCTTTAGGACCACGAGACTTCACTCTCTTGTATCTAAGTTATGGCTAACACAGCTGTTATCCATTGACCTAGCTTCTGCACCTACAAACCATGGCACAGGTAGCTTAGTCTTACAAGGCCTCAGGTGAAGGACCAACCACGTTCACATAGGCCATTCTTTACAGCAGTACTCTTGGCCAACAAGGATCTACATATAGTCTCAATCAAGGTCCATGACAGACTACCTCCACTGGATGTGAAATGGGTTTTAAACCTTGAAAACATGGCCACTTCAGCACAAACCAGATACACCTTAATAATGATTGGTACACAGCCCCATCCCACCCCTTCACATGCGGCTGAAAATAACAGGCTAGTGACAGAACAGTATGAACCTGCTACTGCTGAGTTATTCACCCATTAAATGAGTTAGCTAATTGTCACTAAACTTATATATTAAGGAAATTATATATAGAATACTGCAAAAACACAGTAAAAAGACTGAAGTTTGCCCCTTTTCTGCTCGGGAAGTCCCTTTACTCCCAAGCTTCATGGTATGTTGTACTTCTGGCTCCACAATGCACTGCCACTATTACTGTTTCTCCTCCTTCTGATCTTCCTTCTGTTCCCCAGTACTGGAACTTCCAGAACCTTCCCGCTCAGATGCCATCTGTTGAGAAAGTATTTGAGAATCACATTAGGCCTAATAGTTTGCTCTGTTCAACACACCTCATCCTGTATTTATCATTCTCTCCCCTGCCTTGCACACCATGGGACTCCTCTGCCTTTCCCTGTAACATGGACCAAAACAGCCCTCCAGCCCTTGTACCTTTTTATATGCCATCTCAAAGAGTTTCAATGATGCCTGCTGAAGTGAAGATGCTGCCTGTCTAATGTTTTCTCCTGTTTCACTGTCCTTTCGAGCAAGGAGTTCTCTCATTTTGGAAATCTCTTCCTTTAGCTTGTTGCACTGGAAAAGGCAAAACACAATAAAATAAAAATCCTTTTTCTAAATTCTGTCTCATTTCATGTAGTTTACTATTCAAATTTTTGCCCCCCCTACCTCTACCCTTTATTCGTATTTTTAAAAAACTGAATCACTATCAAACCCAAAGAAAAACCAGCTTCAATGAATTAGTGAATATTCTCTTCAATTATTTTAAATAACTTACCTCATCAGCAGGTAACTGGTCCTTGAATTCTTCCATCTTGGTTTCTGTGTCATGAATAATTCCTTCAGCCATATTAACTGCTTCAACACGTTCCTTAGAAAAAATTGTGAGTTTAATGTAACTGACTTTCCAATCACCAAGTTTCCTTAACTTCTATAGCAAGTGAGACAGTATAAGTTACTTGCCACACAGATAAACAGTAAAAAACGATAATGACTGTACTTAGAAGCACTCATGATAACCTGAGAAAGAGTTGACTTGGCTTTTTTTTTTTTTTTTTTTGGAGCTGAGGACTGAACCCAGGGCATTTCAAGCGCTCTACCACTGAGCTAAATCCCTAACCCCATTGACTTGGCCTTGTGACAGGAATTTTGACAGTGTAAGAGAACAATCCAAACCCAGTATGTGCCCTTAATCCCAGGTCCTAGGGAGGCTGAGAAACGATAAGGTTGTGGAATCATCCTGACTACATGGTGTATCTCATATTAAACAAATCATAAATTAAAGTAACAACAGGAGATGAGAAACTCAAGATCAGTGACATGCCCATGGTCTATTGTCAGTTTTACCAAGTTCAGCAGAGATAATCACCTTCTTTCTCCGGTCTTCCTCAGCATATTTCTCTGCGTTTTTGACCATATTTTCAATATCATCTTTGCTTAGTCCACCGGAAGACTGGATTACAACTGGAGTTAATGAAAAGAAAACTCTTTACTGCACTGAGCAGTAACAGTACACTGGGCATTGTGCACACCTTTAATCCCAACACTCAGGA